TTTTTTTTTTTAACACCTAATTCACTTTTGAGAGAGAGCACGAGTGGGGGAGGGACAGAGAAAGAGGGAGACAGAATCTGAAGCAGCTCCAGGCTCTGAGCTGTCAGCACAGAGCCTGATGCAGGGCTCGAACCCACTAACCGTGAGATCATGACCTGAGCCGAGGTCGGACACCTAACCGACTGGGTCACCCAGGTGCCCCCCCCCGCCCCACCTTTTTTTATTGCGTGTTCTTAACCAGTACACCGTGGTGCCTTTTGTCTGAGAATGAGGGTTTTTTAGGCACAGGAAATAACATGAGAAAAGAGAGCTGCAGACCATAGAGGTCAATTATAGGGAAAAGGCAAGTAGTCGACTCAACGTATGGTGTTCAAAGGGGAGGACTGAGGCACGAGAATGAAATGGAAGGCTAGGATCAAATCACTGAAGGTCCTTGAATGCCTCAAGGAATTTGAATTTTTAATCTGTAGGAGATGGAGAACCAAAGATTTTTAAAGTCAGGGAATAAGAGATACATTGACCAATTGTGCTCCCTTTTGGATGATTACACTGGCTGTGGATAGAAGGAACTGAGAAACGCAGGACTTAGCGGGAAGGTCAGATAGATGGGTGGCCACTGCAATCCTTTTGGTTAAAGGTGGTGAGGTCTGAACCAGGGTACTGATAGGAACAAAAGAGAGAGCAGAGGTTACACAATCAGTAACACTGGGGTAGGGAGGTGTCAAAAGTAATTTACAGCTTTGGTGCATGGCTGTCAGGACAGTTGTACCATCAGCTACAACTAGAAATAGGTGAAGGATCAGATTTGGGAACGAAAGAGTTTGGTATTCAAGAATTGTTTCTCACGGGTGTTCCTTTGGGGCCAGAGCTGGGTTGATCTCCCTTCTGAGATAATAGGCAGAGTGCTGACACACTGCTCCCACTTTCCCATCCCACCAGCCCTGAGTCCTAGAATTCCTCAATGAATCCAGAGTTCTGTTAAGGCTTCAGTCAACAATGACTGAACTTCTATGTGCCTGGCACTGAGGTAGGTGACATGGAGGATATATAGAGAAAAATCCTTCATTATCTTTGATGCTTCCTTGTTTAATCCTTGCATAATCCTCAGTATTTTTTGTTCCTATTTTTCAACATATAGTAAAAATGTTTACTATGCGTTCAACTCTATGTAAAACATTCTAAGGGATTAAAAAAAAAAGGAGGTATAGAAATCAGTCTGTGTCCTCTCCAAGCTTAGCATTTTACTGGGAAGCAGTACATAAAATGAACCCAACACAGATTCTGAAAAGCCAGTAAGCTTGCATAGGACTCTGAGCCCAGCCAGAAATATGCTGCAATAATTCAGACATGAGCTGATAAGGGGGTGGGGGGGGGGTGAAGGTATTTCTGACAAAGAAGAATGGGAAGGTCAACAAGGCCTGATTTAGTCATCAGGGTGTAGAAAGGGGAGTCCTTCCAGGTTGCAAGTATAGGTGGCTGAGGCAGGTGGTTGAAAGAACCCTTATTGGAATCGGCTGCACATGCCCTCACATAGCACTCTCTACAGGCCAGTAGGCACACCTTGCCTGCTCAGAAAGTCACTTTTTTCAATTAAAAAATTTTAAATTGATTTTGAAAGAGCACATGCATGAGGATGAGTAGGGGGGAGGGGCAGAGAGAGAGAGGGAAAGAATCCCAAGCAGGTTCTGTGCCCTCAGCGCAAACAAGCCCAATGTGGGGCTCGAACTCTAACCAGGATCATGACCCGAGCCGAAATCAAGAGTTGTCCAGACACTCAACTGACTGAGCCACCCAGGTGTCCTTCACTTTCACTTTGTAACATTCCTTCTTTCTGGGCAGGGATTTTGCTCAGTTAGGAAGGTAGGAAGATCTGAGCATCCAACCCAAGGTTCAAATTGAATAGCTTGTCTTTTGTCTAGGGAGAACACAGCTGCATGAGAGATTAGGAAAGAAACAGACTTTGTACTCCTCCTTCCTGAAAGTCTGAGGAAGAGAGAGGAATCTCAATTTATCATTACAAATCTATGGTTAGCTTTTGAAACTAAACTTCCTCTGCCTTTGTCATTTTTTTGATACAGAAGAGTAGATAGAGGTTTTTATCTGCTGTAACAATTAGGGCACATTTCCTTTTACTACGCGGCTCTGTAGCATTGTTATTATTATGAGGTTAAGAAGAATAACTCAAGACTGGTTCGGGTATACAAAACTCCATCAGGAAGGCAAAGTCCAGGCAGATGACTTGTAATCCCACTGCCCCTGAAGTGCATTCCAAATCCTGAAAATTGAAGCCAGAAATTCCAATGCCGTTTAGTGAGCACCTACATGCCACACATTCTACTACACAGAGATTGTATTTCAACTGAGCAAAAAAGTAGACATAGAAGACAATTCTCATGGGAAAGTGTGGAAACGAGGTGCATATTCCAAGACATCCACCTAAGACTAAAAGAAAATTAACCACTATTATTTCCTCCTACAGCACAATCTGCTGCTACGTGGGCAGCCTGTCTTGAGAAGCTCAATTCCAAACATCGTAAGTAACTCGTTCACAAGACTCTATTCCTTGATCACTTCAAACAAGGTATTATTTGTAACCCACAACTCCATCCCTTCCCAACTTGAGTGGATGGGGCAACAATCACGACAGACTCTGCTAAGTTTCCACAAATCATTGGTTTATTAGAAAGTTCCTTTCCCTAATTTTACAGCATATATATCTCTATCATATGTGATAAAGTTAAATACAATCTGTAATGTTTGTAAGTAAGGATAGGTTATTTTGTTTTTTAAGTTTTAAAATCACTATTCTGAAAGTTAAAGAAAACTGCCCCCAGGAAGGTAGAGAGGCAGCCAGAGTATGGCTCAATCTATAAGCTAATGGGAAGCAGCACAAAAATGTTAATACTGTATTATTTAAATATTTACATGGGCTGAAAGCAAAGAAAAATGAGTCCCTTCACTTCAAACAGATGATTTCATTTTTCCAGTGCTAGTTATCCAAAGTGATGCTTCTGAATCAGAGGAGGAGCACTGAACAGGTAGGAGGCTCAGGCAGGAGCCTTGTTTGCCCAGCACTTGCTTCTCATAAACTCAAAACCTTTTTCTTTTGGGAATCTGAGAAGAAAGGCAGAACCCAGAGCCTTGGCCCAAGTGAGTAGGGTTTGATTTTTCCTGTCCGGTAACCACCCAACCAATTCCAGCCACAGGAATGGGTAGGGAAATGCCAGATAGAGAACTGCTAACTACACCAAAGATGAGACCTGCAATATAAACACCTTTGGGCCAGTACGTGAATTAGGTCTGAGAGCCCTGGTGAAAGGCAAGAGGAAGAAGAGGAATGAAGGTGGTACTTCCTCTGGTAGGTGTCATGGGAGAAAAGGAAAAAAAAAAAAATCTTCACTGCTTAAACTAAGCTGGGCAGAAGGCATGGAAACTAGGAAGCAAAATAATCTGCAGTATCTATAAATATGCTCACCTCCCAACAAGAGGGGAAGAAACCGTCCCAACTCTTATCATCCTCAAGTCTACTTCTACTTCTGTTTCTAGCCAACCCAGAAGGCACATTAAAAACAAAACAAAACAAAAAACAACAACAAAAACAACAACAAAAACTGTCAGAGGGGGGCTAAGTACTAGGAAGGCAAATGGACTGCCCGGAACAAGGTCCCCAGAAAACCCAGGAAATCCCCCAGACAATCACTCTGAATCTCCCTGCTTCCAGAGAACAAAGCTCTCAAATTTCTCTCTCCTCCTCTGTGGGCTCACCTGTTTCTCTGTATAAAACTGCAAAGCACATGAGGGAGATGTCATAACTGAAGACCCCTTTGACACCCCCAGCTGACTGCTGCCCATTAGTTGAAAAAAAAAAAACAAAAAACAACCAAATCCCAGTGCTGGGGGCACCACTTACTGCAAATTAACTAAACGTTCTGTCCCAGCAAAAAATGTTAAACAATTGTTCTTTTTTTGTTTTAACATTTTTATAGTTCATAACTTCAAAAAATACATGAGCTTGATAAAATATACATGCTTAGTCATTTTTGCATCTAGCAGAAAACAGATACTTTATTTTTTGTTTTCATTTTATAACCTTTAAAGTTTCTTAGTTCAACTAGGGCAAACATATTTACACAAAGCCACCAGAACAAGGATCACTTAAAGAGCTGGATGTAAAAAATATTATTGCAGTATACTACAAATATGGAACCTTTTTTTTTTAATATGAGCTACAAAAAGCAGCATTTACGTTTATAGAGTTCAGTGCAATTTTTTACATTAAAAAAAATCCTATAAATTAAGAAGGAAACATCAACATGACAGAAGAAAATACACCCTTCAGACACATGAGCTCCTCTCTGGGGAAGCACACGGGCGACTCTATGTTCCGCATAGCTTCTATTCATGATAGGATCTTCTTTTCTGGGATATGCAGATACCTCTTCTGGGATGAGGGATATGAGGACAACAGTGCCAAATGTGTGGCTTTCTGTTTGTGTGGGAAGTGGACTGATTGAATAACAGCCTGAGTAGCATCTGGTTCCAGGTCAGACTCCCTTTCCACCTCACCCGGGATAGCATAAGGTCATCAAGGGATGGTCAAAGACACTGAGAGGGCAGGACCAGATAGACAAACCTCCGGCCAGAGAGGAAAAAATGTTTTAAAATTTACAGAAGGGAAGAGTGGAGGATAAAAAGTAGAGGGAAGAGAGGAATATCCAAACTTGACAGTTTGGAGATGTTGCCGCAGAGGGGTGGGTAGCACTTACTGGCGTTCCCTAGCTTAGAAACACAGGAGAAGGAGGGACAAACAGAAAGGGGGGAAGGGAAAAAAAATCCCTGATAGTAAACCCAAAGCAAACCTCAAATCTAAAACCACCCCTGCAAGCCAAAACTCGATTCTTTGGCTGTCAGACACTGCCCATCCCAGCTTCTACTTGCTGGTATTAATGGCTCAACACCCCCGAGGGAAGATATATGGGTCACCTTCCCTGGCCCTACCTGGGCTCCCATCCCCCAACTCATGTGCCATGGCTAGGCGGGTGCTGCAGGTCCTGACCTGAGAAGATGGGGTGAAGTAGTGGGTGAAGGTGGAGGGCGGTGGCAGCTGCTGCAGCAGGCCGCGGAGCAAGCAGGGTAGGGTAGAGGGCAGCATGTGGGACAGGATGGAAGGTGAAGGGCCCAGGATGAATGGCTGAGGCGGGAATGATGTGGATGGGATGGCTAGCGAGAAAGGTGGCCGGATGGCCAGGGATGATTGAGTGAGTGAGGTGGGACAAGGAAATGGGGGTCAGGTGGGGCTGGGGAATATGATGCACTTGGGCGAGTGGCTGGGGATGAGGGTGGGGGTGAATTCCGATGGCGGCGGCAGCTGCCGCCGCATGATGTTGCAGGATGGCATGCTGAACAGTTGTGATTGAGGTGGCAGAGGCTGTGGCTGGCTGCTGAATATGGATAGGCTGCAGGGCTGGAGTGGCTGGGGCCAGGGCAGCTGAGGCTGGAAAGGCCTTTACTTGCTTGGCTAGAAGCTGCTGCTGGATGTGCTGTTGTGCGGCCTGCTGGAGCTTGCTGTACTTCTCCATCTCCTCAGGGGTGAAGGTGATGGGCTGGCTCTCTAGGGGGGCCAGGGAAGCATCCTCAGCCCCATCAGCTGACTCAATACTAGGATCCCCACTGGGAGGTGCATAACTGGGGAAGTGCTCAAGGTCTGGCGCTATAGGCAGCAAGCTGGATTCCACAGGGCCTGGCTGACTGCCACTATCCAAGGACTCTAGGGTGTCCCCATCGCTGGGGTCAGGGAGGTAGTTATGGGAGATGGTGGGGTCCCCAGGATAGCAGTCAGAGTGCACTGGGGTGCCTAGTGGAGCAACAGGGTGATCAGCAGTAACTTCTTCAGACTTTGGCTCTTCTGGGAGTGGGTCTGATAAGGGGCCAGCTGTTTCCTCTGAGGGGAACTGATGTCCAAATGGGGCATCACTACTCCCTGGAGGCCCTTCTTCTGTCTCTGACTGTTCTTGCTCTTCCCCCCTTTCTAAGCCAGACTCTTCACATTTCTTGCTGTTCGGCTTTCGGGTAGCTGGGAGCTTCCCTATCAATGGAAGAACAGGCTTACTGCCAAGAGATGGGGGGAGCTTGGGCCCAAAATAACCTTGTGGGGGGTCCTTGAGCTTGAGCCCAGCTTTAACAGGGGTGGCCAGCACCTCCTCACTCACACTGGGTTTCTTCTCCACTTTCCTTGACTGAATCTTCTCCAGGAGCAGTTTGGCTGTAACGGAGTTCTTGTCTTCGGGGCTGCAGTCACCTTCTGACCCCCTTCCAGCACCAATGTTGCTGTTCTGGGAGGGCGGGCCTGTCCCTTTACCATCGTCTCCTCTGCTGTCATCTTTCTTCCCAGGACCTTCTCCCCGGCCTGATCGGAAATAGTGGGGAGACTGGGAGCGGTAGATTTTAGAGCGGATGAAGTCTCGACGACCAGAACGCCTCTCCTCAGGGCTTTCGTGACCCCATGAGCCCTTCCTGGAACCTGATCGCTGGGAAGGGCTCCTGGTGCTGCGGCTGCGGTCACGGCTATAGCTTCGGCTCCGCTGCCAGCTGTGGGCCGTGGTGCTGCGGCTTCTCCGTTTGCTCCGGCTGCGACTACAGCTGCTGCTGCGGCTGCGGCCCCGGGACCTTGAGCGCTCCCTGGTATGACTCCGAGACCGGCTTCGGGACTGGCTGCAACTGAGGCTATAGTCGTCATCAGAAGAGGAGTACTTGTGCCGTTTGGACCGGTGTTTGGAGCTGGCATAGTCTGAGTCGTCAGAGTCATGGGAGCGCTTGGAGTGCCTTCGAGATCGGTCACTATAGTCACTGTAGCTGTCATCAGAGTAACTGCGCTGTCTGCTGTAGCAGCTCTGGTCTGAAGAAGCATCGGAGCTACTTGAGTAAGAACGCCGGGAGGAACGGTGTGAGGAATGGCGCCGGCCCGACCGGGAACGGCTCCGGGAATGCTCACTGCCTGAGTCTTCCTCCTCTTCCTCCTCCTCACTGTACTGGGACGGAGACTTCTGGTGTAGCCGGTGTGACGAAGCATCGTCACTATCTTCATCTCCACTACTGGGTCGACTTCGATGGCTGGACCGGCTGCTCCGTTTGGTGCCAGCTCTTCGCTGGCAGGATGAAGTTAGAGGCTCACCTTTGTGTTTCTTCCCACCATGATCCTGGGAGCTGCCACCACCTCCACCTTCGTCCTTCTTGCCGCTGCTCCCTTCTTCAGCTGGGAGGGATCTCCGCTGGGAGTCATCTTGAGCTCGCCGCCGTCGTCTTGGTGGTGCAGGGCTACCACTCCCAGGGGGTTCTGGTTTGGGTCCCCGTTCAGAATCCGCGGGGGCTGATGACTTGTTCTTCTTTCGTTTTCGTTTCTTGCGCTTCTTAGACTTCTCCCCAGACTCTGTCTTAGAACTTTTCTCTTCTGGGTCAGCCTTATGTTTCCGTTTGTGTTTGCTGGATTTTTTGTGCTTCTTTTTCTTTTTGTGTCGGTGGGACTTCCCAGATCGTTCTTTCTTGCTAGGAAGGCTTCTCCCTGTGTCCTCTGTCTCTGACCCATGGCTGCCTCCAGGTTCTTGCTTGTTCAGACTGCTACAGGCAGACCCAGAAGCAGGTGCATCCATTCTGCCTCCTGAGGAATGTTCTACATTCTCTCCACCCTCTTTGCTTTTATTTGGCTCACCAGCATCAAGGCCCTGGAGATGGTCCTTTGAGGAGCCTCCTATGTCCTTTGGTTTTTCGGTCCCTTTAGCTCTGGCATCTTTGTTCCTTGAAAGTTTAAAGTCAAAGTATAAAGGGTTACAACTGTATGAAATGGAGGGTTCTGCCTTGGTAAAAATTAAGAGTTCCGATGGCCACTGGAGGGCAGTGCTTTCATCTTTGCTCAAAACTGGAAAGAAGGGACCAGTAGGATGTTTGGGTCCCTCCTGGCTTTCTTTCCCTGCTGGGGTGATCTGAGAGGTTTCTTTAGAGGGGTTAGACTCACATATTTGATTCTCTGAAGCCTTCTGACATGGACTCTCTAAACTCTGCTCACTTACATCCCCTCCTGAGGTCTTCTTTGTCTCAGCTTTGCTTCCAGGCTCTGAGGCCTCTGCGGCACTGGTTTCTGTCTGTTGCTCAGAGACTTCATCAACTGTCTTTTCTGCTCCTTGGCTTGCTATCACCTTGATACAGCCTTTAGGCTTGGGAGAACTGCTTTTTTTGCTCTCTAGGGCATTCTTTGGGTGCATACTATTATCACCTTCCATTTGTTCACTGGCTCTCATAAAGAGTAGGAAGGGGAAATTTGGTTTTACTTTGCAGTGTGCTGGGGGAATGTAGTGGTAATACTCTGGCTCTGCAGCCCCAGCTCCTTCTTCTCGCTTCATTCTTTTTAACTTAGATAATGTTGAGGCTAGGGACCCTCCATCCTGAGGGTCTTCATCCTCTTTTTTACCATCAAGATTACTGCTACCATCAGATTCTCCCATCTTCTGCAATGCTTGGTCAGAACCTTTCTCATCCGCTTTGGCTCCATCTTCAGAGGGTCCTTCCTCTGCGTGGTCCTTGAACACTGACGCTATTGATTCGAGTTTGACAGGAGCCTTCTTGGCAAAGGAAAATGACACTCCCAATTTCTGCAGTGGAGTTCCTGGATTATTCTTAATGCCAAAGCTGATGCCTTGGGAGGCTAACCCAGGAGCCTGTGCCAGTCCAGAGGTATTAGTGCTTTGTATTGCAGTGAAAGGGCCTCCTTTATCTGTGGAGAATTCAGATCCCAGGCCACAAGTGGCTGTGGCACTTGTGCCACTGTTTGTAGCTGATTCATCTTTATCATCATCTCCACCTTCTTCATCTACAGCCACTGTGGTTGGTCTGAACATGGGACCGCTTCCAGGTGCACTGCACAAGGGTTTAGAAAAATAACAAAAAAGGTTAGAGGTATACACTTCATACTTCTTATATAACACTTCTCTCTCATGTTCCACCATTCACTGCAGGTTGGACCCGAAGACACTGCGTGGTGGTCATTTCCTAGCCCTGTGCCAAAAAGAGATACTTGCTCAGTGGGTTTAGGCAAAGTCTCATACTGTTAACATACTGATTAGCTGTACTTCCAGGGCCAGCCGGTTAATACTATCTCTTCCTAAGCTGTCTAGAATTTAAAAAGTAAAGCTTTATTACACAATTCAAATAGTCTGTCATTACCACCTGGTACAGCTGACCCATCCTGTATTTGTTCTCATTTCTTTTTTAAGTTTATTTATTTTGTTAGGTAATCTCTACACCCAATGTGGGGCTTGAAGATCAAGCGTTGTGTGCTCTTCTGACTGAGCCAGCCAGGCACTCCTGTTCTCATTTCTTACTGAATCATCCCACCCATCAGTATGCCATCAAATGGGTGGCTGAACATCTATTCACAAAGATTGTATTTCATTCAGCTCAAAAACCCCTCTAATTTCCTCTGTGTTTTCAAATTATACTTTTTTTTTTTTTAAGTATATTCATTTATTTTGAGAGAAAGAGTGAGCATTGAGTGGGGCAGGGGCAGAGAGAGGAGAGAGAATTCCAAGAAGGCTCCACACTGTCAGCACAGAGCCTGATTCGAGGCTAGGACCCACATGACCTGAGCCAAGATCAAGACTGGACGCTTAACCGACTGAGCCACTCAGTTGCTCCTCAAATTTTACTTTTTAAAATGTGGATATTTTCTGAGTTTATCACAGTCAGAAACTTCCACTGTGTTACTCTATGGTAGTCTCTGGTTAGTATGTCTGGCATTTGCTTTGGTTTTTTGATTTCTGGACATTCTGTACAATGATCATGATGCTACCAAACACTTTCTCAGCTCTGAAAAAAGGAACACAGAGAAGCCTCAAAGCCAGTGTTTTAAACTCATGTCATGTCTGAAATTTTTACAGTGTGTGGACTATACACTTGAGGTACCTTTCAAGCCAAACTTAAGGTAAACTTATCGGGTATCTATTTAGATGAAGTCTTGTTATCTGATCCCTAGCTACAAGCTATCCTAAATTCAGGGACTACATATATTTGGATGATATGTTATCCCTTGTTCTCTAAAAACTCTTGCTAATGAAAGACAGGAACCCAAAAGATTTAGATAGCAAGAGACACGCTGTGCCATGAAACCTACCTCATGGCAAAGAGACCCTCTAGGTGAATAAGAAGGGATCTTATTTTGTTCTTTTGCTTACTCTTTACCATGTTAATTCAATAATATATATGATGGGGTCATGCATTATTAATTCTGGGACAATGAAATACCTGATGATTGGTCAAACCTTCTTTTATTCTCCCAAGAGATTACTTGGTCATCTTTTAACTGTTTGCTTATGAAACTGACAACTACCAAGACACTTCTGAAGAAAAACATGTATTAAAATATGTCCTAAATTAGAAGATGACCTGGTATATACTTTTTGAGAAGATAGCTTTGTGATATGCCCAAGAGTAACATGTTACTATATAAAAAGCTGCCCAAAGAAGGAATCAGAACCAGTTTATAGGCAGTTTAACTCAACATTAGAGCTCAGCAGTTAATTCTATTTCACAACTTATACTATGTGTTCTCTCCCTTCCTTCTTTTTCCAAAACACTCAGAGAAGTAAGTAAAAAAAGGATCCAGAGACAAAATGAACCTAGTAAGTCCAGGAACTTGGTATCTGTGGCCCCAACTTGGCTGTAAACTTTTAAAAACCATAGTCAGGGGCGCCTGGGTGGCTCAGTCGGTTGAGCGTCCAACTTCAGCTCAGATCACGATCTCATGGTCCACGGGTTCGAGCCCCGCGTCGGGCTCTGGGCTGATGGCTCAGAGCCTGGAGCCTGCTTCCGATTCTGTGTCTCCCTCTCTCTCTGCCCCTCCCCCGTTCATGCTGTGTCTCTCTGTCTCAAAAATAAATAAACGTTAAAAAAAAACAAAAAAACAAAAAACATAGTCATAGTTTCTTTCTACTGTAACCAGTTACTTCCTTTGATCCTGGACAGCCATTAAAAACAAACATGGGGGGCACCTAGGTGGCACAGTCGGTTAAGCGTCTGACTCTTGATCTTGGCTCAGGTCATGATCTCATGGTTCATGAGTTCAGCCCCACATCGCGCTCTGCGCTGACAGTGCGAAGCCTGCTTGGATTCTGTCTGCCTTCTCTCTGCTCCTCCCCTGCTTGTGCTCTCAAAATAAATAAACTTGGAAACAAACAAACATGGGGGCCTAAGTCTTTCTGATCAGGGCACATACTGCATGAATCCTCAGATGCTTTGGGTCCCCAAAGTCTAGTTGCTTGGAAATTCCGCCCCAGGTGGGGTAAATTCCACCTAAGGCTAAATACCAGCTCCCAAGTTGATAATCATCAAGAACCATGAAGGAATATTAAAAAGAACACTCAAGAAGGTAGGAACCTGCAGAGAAATAAATGGATAGAATACTTAGGTTTTAGTGGTTATTACTAACTGTATAGTACTTAAAAGGAAGTTATAACACTTGAATCTTTGCGCCAGTACTTTTTAGCTATAAAACAGAATACTGTAATGTATGTGCTTTTCTACAGAAGAATGCTGAAAAATGGGAAAAATATTTGTAGAATTTATCGATTTACTGAGCATCTTCTATGGCATGGCACTCTAAGGCCTTTTTTTTTTTTTTTTTGAGAGAGAGAGAGAGAAAGAGAATGAACATGAGCAGGGGAGAGGGGCAGAGGGAGAAAGAGAATTTTAAGCAGGCTCCATGCCCAGTGTGGAGCCTAATGTGAAGCTTGATTTCACAACTATGAGATCATGACCTGAGCTGAAATCAAGAGTTGGACACTTAACTGACGGAGCCACCCAGGCTCCCCTATAATGCACTTTTGATGAAAAGATAATCACTCCTCACAACTGTAAGAGGTAAATTGTTATTATTATCATCTCCATTTTACAGATAAGGAAACTGAGGCATAGAGCTTAGATAACTAAGGTCGGACAGAAGGTAGGATAGGGCCTCAGAAGTGCATATTCCTCATCAGTATATTACACTCTAATTACAGATATGCTTTCAGTTTGAAAGAAAGATACACTAATTAGTATTGTAATTCCTTTTTTATTTTTTTGACAGGAAGAGTGAGCAGGAGGGAGGGGCAGAGGGAGAAGGAGAGAGAGAATCTTAAGCAGGCTCCATGCCTAGCACAGAGCCCCACAAGGGGCTTGATCTCACAACTGTGAGATCATGACCTGAGTTGAAATCAAGAGTCAGATGCTTAACCAACTGAGCCACCCAGGTGCCCCAAGGGTTATAATTCTTAAATCTTAAATCTTAAATTATAATCTAAAATCTTAAGGATTATAACTATCTGTAGAACCCTCTGGGAGAAAATATCCTCAGGGTGCCTGAGTGGCTCAGTCAGTTAAGTATCTGACTCGTGACTTTTAGCTCAGGTTATGATCTCACAGTTCGTGAGTTTGAGCCCCACAGAGGGCTCTGTGCTGACAGTGCAGAGCCTGCTTGGGAATTCTGTCTCCCTCTCTCTCTGTCCCTCCCTGTCGTGCTCTCTCAAAAAAATAAATAAAAATAAAAACTCGAGAGGAAAAAAAAAAGAAAATAAAGGAACATATCCTCACCATTCAGCTTGTTTCCTTTGCTCAGCCAATTCATGGAGCCGCCGAAGGGCTTTTTCCTGTTTCTTCTCATCTTTGCGGGATCTTGAAGAGACATTTCGAGCAAACTCTCTCTGCTTGAGATCTTTCAATCTCTGGTGTAACAACAACAACAACAAACAAAAACAAAGGGAACAGAGGGTGGGTGATTTAGAATAATTTGGGGATCCTGAAAACAAGGCCTTTAGAATATTTACCCTCAATCAATGGTTATAGTGCTAGCGTAGAACACAGTGTTTAATACTCTCAGTAACTGAAACCACAATGGCAGATTACTTTGGATGAAACACTTGGAGTACCTGCATTTTCTAATTAGGACAGCATACCATTTACTTTACTGGGCAAAATTAAATGTTTTCAGATACAACAAGCACATTTTAGAACATTAGGAGGAAAAAAAAGGGACTATTTAATCACCTGCTCCTCCAGGATGCAAAACTAAACAAACAGAACATGAGATAAATTGTAATAACACAAGCCAAAGAAAACAGAAAGGGGTTAGGCTAGTACAGAAAATTACCCAGGAGTAAGATCTTAAAAAGCAATGTACAGCTTACATGGGGAGGTTATGTGAATCAAAACAAATAGAAAGCATACTTTTATTTCACCATAAAAAGGTGCTATTTCTTTTCAGCATGAAGTTTTCCTGTGACTATCACACAAACCATCTTCCAATGCTAGCATGTTCAGAGCTCACCAGTCTGACCACTTGCATCTGGTCAGTCTGCTGAAATTAGAGAGTAATATGTATAGCTTTTCCATTCCTTCATGGCCCTGAGAGGAACATCCAGGGGATGAGGAGAGAACAGAGATAAGTCAAAGGATTTATTACTTAAAATCCTGATAAAAGAATGAATCTTTTATTCTCAGAAACTAGTATATAATTTTCCTTAAAACAAAACAACAACAACCAAAAAAGAACAGTGCTGATGACACACTGGTGACAAAGTCCAGACATATCTGCAATGAAGACAGAACTAAAATTATTTCCAACACACTAGATAATATAAAAAACAAACCAAAACAAAACACATACATTAGCCTATGCTTTTACAATAGCATTAGGAAAAGGAATTTGACCCGATATAAAGTGGACATTGCTTTGTGGAAGGGCATGATGTTCAACAGACAGAGGAATTTTCATATCTAATATTTATGAAATGTGTTTTGAATATTTTTGAATTGGGAAGGGAAAAGGGTGGAAAGACACACACAAAAAAAGATATACAGCTAAAGACACTAGTAGAAAAACTCACTCTTGTGATCTGGGCTCCCAAATTAGAAGGATTTGCTTTCAATACATCAGCTGAAAATGTCACATCACAAAGAAAAAAAAGTAAAAATAAAACAAGAGTGGAAGAGAAAAAAAAAATAAAGCAAGCATTACTACACAGGCTCTCTTAGTGAATCTGCAAACTATTATACTGAACAATCAGGGACAAAGCCATCAACTCTAAAAGGGTGGGGGAGAGGGAAGCACCCGTACAACACATATATGTGTACATACACAGAGACTGACACAGTAATAATCTCTCCGGATACATAGACCTGTCTACATTCAGGAAAAATAGTTAACAGAACTTCAGGAAAGACCACTGCTACCTAGGAACCGTCTATCTTATTTTCATTTACCTTTATTTTGGGAATGTTCAAGTAACCAACAGCTGGCAAAATGTTTTCCTAAAGCTGGCTATCCAGAATTAAGAATTTTATAAAAACCACTTCAAGACGGTGGATCAACTATCTTGAATAAATATGAATTCCAATTTCTTCCTTTCAAGGAGAATGAGACAGAAAGAGCCTGTCAGGACTATGGTATCATTATTTCAGGCTACAAACTTAGTTTTTTTCTGCCCCAAACATTTACCAGGCGCTCTAGCCAAAATTTAAATAGAACATATGTTTTTCTCATATCTGCCATCTTCACTCCAGCCACCCCATAGGCCTGCAAAATTTCCCAGTGCCTGGTCATTTCCTTCCTTCCTACAAATATTTGATTAGTTTTAGGAGTTATTTCCCAAACTACAGGATACTTTCTAGAAGAATGAGCATTTTATCAAAGCCTGGAGTTTCCAAGCTAAATCAGACAGAGGTTAGGCTTTCCAATCATTCAGCAACCACTTGGTGCAACCTTGAAGTTGAAGGGATAAGACTATGTCCACATCATCCTGAAGATGCTGTATCTCAAATTCTTACCGTAACATAATTGGAGGTAGGGAGGGATGAAAATGGGATGAGGTCAGTAAAACAAATCTGAGTGCAGCCCCATTCTAGGTGAAGCTATACACCAAACACAGTGTAGCAAACATTCCTAAATCACTTTACAAACTTTAAAGTCTCAAATGTAAAATTGGGAACCCCAGAGTTCTAACCCAAACCTTAGAGATAGGGCTTGGCAACTCTCCCAAACCCAAAATGTATGTTTGAGGTCTTTCAGGTGAGGGTATTTTGATGATAAAAACAGATTCTACCCAAGGTCAGACTAAATCCCCCTCCAAAGTCTTTACTGATACCTCATAAAATTTTTTTCTTCTTTCTGAACTTAGTATTTTGTTAAGTACTCATCTAGCAACCATCATACTTTGCTCTGTCTATACTTATTCTTGCCTTTCAGAAAAGCAGTATGTGTAAAGTTTGAGTCAGAAAGACTTGTGTTCAAATCCATTAATTACCAAGCAAGTGATGATTTCATCTCTATGAGCTCGTTTCCCCCATGAGAAAAATAGGGCCATTCTAGCAGGTTTATGAGGTTAGGTGTCAAAATAAATATAAAGCACTTTATGTATCAAAATTGTTCAATACTGGGGCAACTGGGTGGCTCAGATGGTTAAGCATCCGACTTCAGCTCAGGTCATGATCTCGCAGTTTGTGAGTTTGAGCCTCATATTGGGCTCTGGGCTGATAGCTCAGAGCCTGGAACCTGCTTTTGATTCTGTGTCTTCCTCTCTCTCTCTGCCCACCCCACCCTGCTCACACTCTCTCCCTCTCTCTCAAACATAAATAAAAAAAGTTCAATATTGTCTCTGTTCTTTTATTTGGGGCAGAGACTGTAGCTGCTCTTTTTTTAAACTTCACTTTTATTTATTTTTTAAGTAATCTCCACACCCATTGTGGGGCTTGAATTCACAACCTCGAGATGAAGAGTCACATTCTTTTTTTTTTTTTTCAACGTTTATTTATTTTTTGGGACAGAGAGAGACAGAGCATGAATGGGGGAGGGGCAGAGAGAGAGGGAGACACAGAATCAGAAACAGGGTCCAGGCTCTGAGCCATCAGCCCAGAGCCTGACGCGGGGCTCGAACTCACGGACCGCAAGATCGTGACCTGGCTGAAGTCGGACGCTTAACCGACTGCGCCACCCAGGCGCCCCAAGAGTCACATTCTTTATCAGCTGAGCCCCTCCTTTAAAAATTTTTATTTTAAAAACAATCTCTACACTCAATGTGGGGCTCACGTAGCTGATCTTTGTAATCAACACCGTAGTGCACAGAACAGTAGTTAAGTCTACAGAAAACATCTGGGAAATGCTTGGTGAGTAATTTGGCTGAAACACTGGATCCTTGATTTTTCCCCAAATAAATTCTTTACCACTTGTAGAAAAGTTTGATAAATATTTTCCTATCTCTATTAGGGACATAGTCAAGTTATATGAGATATATGGTTTTCCTAGCTATTACTCTCATCCAGCAAGAAGTCTCATTCTTTAGAGAATCAAAAAGCCTAAAATGTTAAGCCCCTTACTTCTGGACAGAATTAGGCCATGGGTGCCTGGATGGCTCAGTTGGTACAGCATACCACTCTTGATGTCAGGGTCATGAGTTTGAGCCCTATGTTAGGTGTGGAGATTACTTAAAAAAAAAAAAAAAAAAAAAAAGAATTAGGTCAAATGGCAAAAAGGATATCAGAAAGTTCTCAATTTCTTATGTAAAAAGTAATTTAAAAAATTTAAGTTCATTTATTTTGAGAGAAACAGGGACAGCACAAGCAGGGAAGGAGGGAGGGAGGGGGGAGAGAGAGAGAGAGAGAGAGAGAGAGAGAGAGAGAGGAGGAGGGAGGGAGGAGAGAGGAATTCAAGCAGGCTCCATGCTGCCAGCATAGAGCCTGATGTATGCTGAACCCAGGAAGTGAGATCATGACCTGGGCTGAAACCAAGAGCTGGACACTTAACAGACTGAGCCACCCAGGTGCTCCTAAAAAGTAATTTTTATAAAGGCAAAAGTCCCTAATTCAGAGTCAGGTTTTCCAGAGTTGGTTATTTTAGTCCATGGAAAAGCCTGGCTCATTTGCAACTAAATGCTCATATGAAATTCTGTGTCCTGTACTTTTACTTTCCTCTTAAATTCTAAAGAGGAACACAACTTCAGGTAACTTCTTCAAGGTGAGAACAGAGGAGCAACATACCTGCCTGTCAAAGAAAAGAGACAGAGTCGGTGCTGGCTGGCTCAGTCGGTTTAAGTCCGAATTCACCTCAGGTCATGATTGCATGGTTCGGGTTATCTGGCCAAGGCTTGTGCGAAGTAGAGCCTGAAGGCTGATTGTGTCTCCCTCTCTCCCTGCCCCTCCCTGACTCATTCTCTGTGTCTCTGTCTCTCAAAAAATAAATAAATGTTAAAAAAAAAAAAAAGTTTTCTTTTCATTTTATTATTATTTTTTTAGAGAGGAGACAGAGCATGAGGGAAGGGGCAGAGAGACAGGGGAGACACAGAGTCCAAAGCAGGCTCCAGGCTCTGAGCTGTCATCACAGAGCCCCAATGCGGGACTCGAACTCACAGACTGTGAGATCATGACCTGAGCTGAAGTCGGACACTCAACCGACTGAGCCACCTAAGTGCCCCCCTCCCCATTTTTTTTTTTTCAACGCTTTATTTATTTTGGGACAGAGAGAGACAGAGCATGAACGGGAGGGGCAGAGAGAGGAGACACAGAATTGAAACAGGCTCCAGGCTCTGAGCCATCAGCCCAGAGCCTGACGCGGGCTCGAACTCACGACCGCGCGAGATCGTACCTGGCTGAAGTCGACGCTTAACCGCATCAGCCGCCACCCAGGCTTCCCCCCAATTTTTTTAAATGAGAAGAGACAGAGCTTATGCAAGGA